ATAACAAATCTAGTCAGTAAGAAAACTATTAAAGTTGTTTAAACTAAAAACTTATATCACTAAATGATGTCATGAATGTCATTGAAAAAAAACTTAATAAATTGAGACAATCAAATATTTGCAATTTGTGCACACACACACACCTCACATAAATTAACAAACATACTAGACATGTATGCATACATATTCATAGATACGTATGTATGTATGTACATATGTAGTACACATACACTAGACGGGGTCGCGAAAAAAAATGGTTGCAATTACCCTCCCTAGTTTGAAAGTTTACATTGAGAGGAGTTTAAGGTCATAAAAATGTTCATCCTTGGTGAGTCCTAAAGCCAGCCAAGATCAAAATTTCGTACTAACTTTTTTATTTATATCGTTAGATAGATATATTTGAGTACTAAACATTCTTCTACTAAGATCCTTTCGATTCTAATTCTTCCCAAATAAGTACAACTTTACGATTCATCTCAATAAATATTATAGTAAGCGCTGATGTTTTATAATAAACATCATTAATAAACAAATCATCAACAGATCATTAAGTTTTTTTATTTTTAGATCGTTGCAAAATCGTTCTTTTTCGATCAAGAATAATTTTTAAATATGGGTGTTGATTTTTTCGTTAGAATGTAATCGTTGGTTTTTTAACCGACTTCCAATAAAGGAGGAGGTTATCAATTCGTTTGCTATCGCATAACTTTGGATCACGTTTACCGATTTTTATAATTCTTTTTTAAAGGAAAGGTGGTACCTCAGAGGTTGTCTCATACTAATTTAGTTTAGGTCCGATCACTGGATCATGAAGAAATTAACGGTATGCTTAAATTTTTACATGAGAATTGAAGTCGGTTTGGTGTTTTGCTTAAAAAATTACTTGTTTATTGATAGTTTCCGCTTTTTGGAGCTAAAAAAATTAAATCTGAAAATAACAGTTATAATATAATAAAAAAAAATTTTTAAAAATTTATGGAAAAAATAAATATCAAAAAAAACGAATTTTTCTTGTTTGAATAAATTAAAATCATGAAATAACGGTAAAATTTGTTGTATTTATTGCACTTCGATCCCATTTAAATTATGATTTTTATTAAAAAAAATGTCATAACCGCTCCGGTCTTAAACTCCTCTGAAAGTAAGCTTTCAAACCTCGGCAGTTAAATATTATTATTATTTTTTTTTGTTATGGCAACCGATCCACTCTAATCCCTTGTACAAAGAACAGCGCCCTCTATACATACTTACATATTTCTGCAAATAAAAAAATCTTCTTCGCGATGTTCATTACAAAGCAGCATAAAAGGCAGACTATTCAATGTAATGTCTTTCTTTTCATCACTTTTCCTCAAAATCGAAAAAACTGAAATTAACACATAAGCTCGCTTTCTTAAATGAAATCACAGTACATATTCAATTGAAGACCACAAAACGTTTTTTTGTCTCGTATAGATCAAGAGTACATTACTTCTTCTTTTCTTGTCGGCCGACAGAAAAAAACGTTTTGTTGTCTTCGGTGTGGGTTCAGCCTTAGTGAGTGGAAGAACTTTTTAGTTTTTTCTCCAATATTTAAACGTTTCAGGCCAAGGCTTAAGCTAAAACTACTTTTTTTTAGTTAAACTCTTTACCCGGGACTATTATTTTTACACACGCGCGCACACATCTGCCCTCCTCCCACGCATATGCATATGTACATACATACATACATGTATCTTCATATATGTATATTGTATAATCACACAGATATAAAATGTTGCTTAAGGTGATCAAAACTCTCCTATATATGTAGGCATGTATTACTTATTTCTTAAGGTGTTAAAGTTAAATGAAACACAGCTGAAGCTCCTTAGATAATGTTACTTAGTGCCCCTAGTGATAATGATTCTACATATGTAGGTATTGTTCTAACTAATTTATGTAAGTGCATCTACTATGATATTGTGTTGTTTGTGTACGCATCGTTTAACCTAAGTAAATTAGTGTATTCTGTGTATGTACTTACGTAGTTGTAAATTATAAAAAAAAAAACTAAAATAAAATAAACAAATAATTTATGTTGCAATTGAAATTGTCTATTTTTCATGTAATCTATTGCTATTGTATCTTGCTTGGTATCAAAAAGCTCTTAGAGGTCGTTCCCAATTCTGACCCAAACTTTCCACCTTGTCACAGCCATATTTGAATAGCTCAGCTAACAAAACCTCGACTCCAGCAGCTATGTTATTTTTGAGCCACGCCACGGGTGTTTGATTTTCGTTAGAATCGCGTAACGGTACATCGATTATCTAATCATCGTTTGCGGGATCCGGTCATTATTCAAAGTTCCCATCGCTGGTAACATTCAGCCAATCGGGAAGCGTTCGATGGACTTCAACTATCAGCTTAGCGTTTTCGTTCTTACAGCAATTTGTTCCGGTCGTAGAATCTTCCAAATGTCGTCCCACTTTCTGATCGAATTTTCTGACGTTACTCCTGTCCGCCAGAAACTCAAGCTCTCGCAAACATCTCGATAAAGCTCCTGAACTGACGTCAATGTAGTGTCTGTTGGTGTTGAGGAGGTGCGGGAGTTCGGCTTCCGTGGACTTCGATCTAGAAAATTGTGATGCATTCCGACAACTTCTGCTAAATAAGAGTCTTTTTTGGTACACGCCATGGTTGGAGTATTGGTGTCATAGTAAAGACTACTTACTATTCAACTTCCCTCAGTTGCGTTTCCAATCTGCGTCTGGACATTTCACTTGATATTCCCTTCCCTTTGAAATTGCTATGTCGAAGAACCCGAGCAGTTAGCGGCCTTTAAAGCTTTCGGTGCAACTTGGTTTCTAGCAAAGGTTTCCACGTTTCGTATTAGAGTATTACTATTCTGTATTAGATCCGCTGCCTTTTCTACGGCAGAGACCTTTGCTTGAAAGACACTACCCGATACGACTCCATGATGTACAGGTTTCCGGATAGAGACCTCACTCGGCTTATTCACCTTCACCTTCATCGAGCATTCAGTGTAGAGTGCAATTACACCCATTCCTGGCGGTAAGCCAGTATCTCAATCCTCCCAGCTTAGACAGGTGGTTAGTGTCATGCGGGTTATTTTCCCAAACCGGATAAATAGGAGTCGAATTTGTATAAGTAAGCTGCTAAAGTGTCCACATTTGCTAAGACGGTCTTAGATTTTATGACCTATCTACCCTGCAAATGAGTGAGGTGTCCGCTAACGTGGCCTGGATGTATGGCTCTGTTCGACAAATTCTAGGTGGGATTGATAATCTCGTGGAATCTCGGCAATAAGCGTTTGGGCAGAACGTGTTGTGATCCTTCACAGGGAGCATTGCAGCCTCGTCATCCATATTTTTTCTGAGGTCTTAGGCGACAACCTGGGGGGGTATGGAGTGCTTCTGCTTTTTCCTTGTAGTTGTTTTTGCACGTAGCTCTAAAATCAGAATAAGAGCTCGGTTATCCACGAACCTGTACACAACGTGCTGCAGAAGTGCGTAGAAACATATCAAATTTGCTGTTGATAGAGAGAGATGAAAGACTAACATCATCCGGTGACGAGTTTTCGTTAACACGCAAATCCCATAGGATATACTATACAATGTCAGCTGACACGTTCTCAGTTTTTATGTCCGTGGGTAGCTGCGCTTTAAGTCGTAATATTTAGGTTGTACATTGTGTTACGAGTTATCGAGCTTCCGCTGTGTGTAGATAGGCAATACAGGTGCACTGAACCGAGGACCGGGCCTTTTAGGGAACCGACCGGTACGGTTCTTACAAGAGCCAAAAAAAAATTTTAGCGGAACCAAAACTCGATTCCAAAAGAACCGAGAAACGGTTCCGGAGTAAACGAAACTCGATTCCAAAAGAACCGAAAACGGTTCCGGAAGAACCGAAACTCGATTCCAAAAGAACCGAAAAACGGTTTCGGAAAAACCGAAACTCGATTCCAAATGAATCAAAAAATGGTTCCGGCAGAACCGTAAAAAGATCTCAGAATAACCGAGAAAATAAATAAAAAGATCTGGAACCCATTCCAAAACAATCGGAACAGAAAATCGGCCACAAAGCGGACATTGTACTTTAGGCAAAAAATTTAATATTTTAGCTTAAATTCTAAATACGAAGATATCAGCCCGCTACTTGGTTTAGATATTGTGGCGAATACTGCGGCAACACAAAGCGAACAACGAGAAATAGGCA